TTTTTAATTAATATTTTTTGTTTAATTTAGTTCATTAATATTAAAAAAATTTCCTATTTAGTTATCAATTGATGCCTTTAGTTTTTTCATTTTTTCATTTTTATGTCTTTGACTCTGGATTGCACAATGCAGTTCACAGTAAAAAGGCTAATGCGTTTTTTTTTACTTTTTAATTTTTAAAAAAATTTTGGTTTGTTTATGTTAAATTTTTTTTCTATTTTGTTATAAGACTTTCAAGACATGGATCTCGTGTTTAACAAGTTAGCCTAGTTAATTCATATTTTTTTTTCATTAGTTTTTTCTCCGTATAGGTTTTTTCTTCTTTGTTTTTCCCTTTTTAACTAAATTTTTAAAATTTATTTTGTTGATATTAAAATTTTTTCTATTTAATTATCAGACTTTCATGACATAGATCTCAAGTTTGACAGGTTACCCAGTTAATTTAGATTTTTTTTATTTTTCTTCATTAGTTTTTTTCTTCTTGTAGGTTTTTTTTCTTTTAATCCAGTTAGTTTTTTTATTTTTACTTTATTGCCTTTTTTATGCCATTGATAGTCCATAATGAAAATTGATGCCTTTTGTTTTTTTGTTTTCATTTTTAATTATTTTTTTTTTATTTTAGTTTGTTAATGTTAATTTTTTTTTAATATTTAGTTATCAAACTTTCATGACACGGATCCCGAGTTTAACAGGTTAGCCCAATTAATTCTGGGCTAACATGTCAATTTTTTTTTATTTAGTTATCAAACTTTCACAAAATGAATCTAATGTTTGAGAGGTTAACCTGATTTGAAAGGTTAACCTAGTTAATTCAAATTTTTTTTTCTTTTTCTTCATTAGTTATTTTCTTTATGTTGATTTTTTTCCTATGTTTTTTTTTACCTAATCTATTTAATTATCACATTTTTATAATATGACGTTGCAGCTAGACCCACATCCAAGATTATTGGGTTTGATATTGTAGTCAAACCTACTTAAACTTGAATCATGCAAGTTTAATATTATTATTAATATTATAAATATTTTCTTTTTCTTCATTAATTATTTTCTTCAAGTTGATTCTTTTGTTATTTTTTTTTACCTAATCTATTTAATTATCACACTTTTATAATATGACGTTGCAACTAGACTCACATCTAAAATTATTGGGTTTTATATTACATAGCTTTTTTGATATTTTTTATACAAAAACATTGACCTGCGGCATTGCGCGGGTCATCTAACTAGTATCATCTAAAAGGTTAAGCTTTAAATTCTTCACTAATATAAAAAAGAGGATCCTGTTTGATTCATCTATCTTTTTACGTTAATTTCTTTTATTGTTTTCAACACAAGCCTAACAAATTCATTGATTTTTATTTTGAAAATTTTATATTTAATAAATATGTTCTTTCTTTCATGGATAAACATTTTTAAAATAAATAAAAACAATCAAAACTAAAAATTAAAAAAATAAACTAATTGTCATCATGTAAAATATTGTGGACTATGAGAAGATGCAAAGTGGATTTATAGTTTTTGTGGTCACTTTATGATTTTTCTATGATGATAACTTAACTATTTTTTCCCATCAAATTCATCCTTTTATATTATATTGGTTTTGAATTGGATTTTATGATTTATCTTAATTAATTTTTAATGAGGTTATTTCAATATTAATACAACATCCTGATATTGAATTGATGGTTAATTTTGTAAAAAAAATAATTTTGTTGCTTGTGAAAAAATATTTAAGGATTAAATTTGATAAGGAGAAAACAAAATGAAAGTTTTTTTTCGTTTATAGTTTTAAAAAATATCTTTTAGAAAAACATTTTACTAATTTTTTTCAATTGAATTTCTTTTCCCTTAAGTTTGACAATATAACATTTTAGTCTCAAATTTTATTTGGTTCTTATTTTACTATCTGAATTTAAAAAAAGAGAGAAATATTTATTAGAATCAACAAAAAAAAATTAATTGGTGAGATTCTATGAACAAAAACACAAATTTGATATCAATGTATTTCTTTTGACGAGAGGAGTGCCATTGAAGTTTTTTTTACTTCCATATTGTTGAAAAACGTTGATCAAGATTGGAAACGATTATTTTTTTACTTAATTTTTTATTTTTGAATTAGTTTAGTGGTTTCTTAAATTGCTATATCAATTAGTTTATTAGATTCTAGTGAGGTTTATTTGAAGTTTTTAATAATATGAATATTTTGGTCAAAAAACTCCAACATCATTTTTTGATAGAAAATATTATTTTACTCTGTTTTATATTTTTGAATTAGTTTAGTGGTTTCTTAAATTGGTATATCAATTAGTTTATTAGATTCTAGTCAGTTTTTGTTAAAATATATTATAATATGAATATTTTGGTCAAAAAACTCTAACATCATTTTTTGATAGAAAATATTATTTTACTCTGTTTTATATTTTTGAATTAGTTTAGTGGTTTCTTAAATTGTTAAATCAATTTGTTTATTGAGATTCTAATGAGGTTTATTTGAAGTTTTTATGTGAAAATATATTATATAATGAATATTTTGGTTAAAAAAAAACTCCAACATCAATTTTTGATAGTATCATTATGCATATGATATGCCAAAAAAACTCATGAATATTCAATGAAAATAAAGTTTCTATTCTTCAAATTTTGTAGGACTTATGACATGATTTTATAATATTTATTATTTTTTTTCCTTGAACCATATACAAGATATTTAAACATTATTTTGATATTAAAAAAAAATTGAGATCATGATAGATTTTGTTTTTTGAAAAACAATGATTACAATTAAAAAAACATAATTTGGTTAAAAAAATAAAGAAATAAATTAATAAGGAAATAGAGTTTAGATTGAAGAAAAATATTTTAATAATTTTGTTTGTTGTCTTTCAAGCAAATTTCTTATTATTGTTTAATTAAATAAAAAAATTAAATTAATAAAGCAAGGTTATTTAATACAGTTAGGGTCATGATTTAGATAATAAATTAGGTTGGTTAAACTGATTTGATTATTTTTATTTTTCATGAAAACTTTTTTACTATATGTTACCATCATTAAGAAAATGGCTAAATAGAATGGGAAAGAGGAACAATAAAAATAGTATCAGATATTTTATGAATAAACCAATTTTTTTAAAAAAAGAAAAGCCTTTTTAACCCACGAACCAAAACATAAACAAAATAAAAAAAATAAAAAAATAAACCCATGCAACTAAATCTTAGTGACTCTATGCTTGGCTAAATGATCCGAAACCTGATTTTATATGTAAAGTCCACAGAAAAAAAAGATATTAAAAGCATTTAAAAATGTTATTAAAGTCATCTTATAAATATCATAATCTCGTGATGCTATAACTCTTAATTCAGTTAATAGCATTAAGGGAGTGTTTGGTGTACTGTGTTATTTAAAATTATTTAAAATAATATTTTTTTAAAATGTTAAATTATTTTAATGTGCTGATATTAAAAATAATTTTTTTAAAATTAAAATAATTTATTTTAATTTATTTTTTAACAAAAAATACTTTAAATTATTTTAAATTATTTAAAATAATATTTTAAAATTTTTTTAAATTTATGTTTATTTAAAATAATATTTTTAAATTATTTTAATGTGCTGATATTAAAAATAATTTTTTAAAAATTAAAATCCTCTATTTTTTAACAAAAAAATACTTTAAATTATTACTATTATTACAATCTTAAACAAACCCTAAATAAACCAAACCCCACAATCAAGCTTTTGTAAGGTGCATAGAAGCAAGCAATACTCATTTGAAGAGCTTTTTGAATTGCGAAACCTATACCACATCTAATTTCTTATACACATAAAACAATACAAAGCATATAGAAAACTTCATTCACGATCTCTTAAAACTCCGTCAATTTTTGAAGATCATGGCTCGCTATTTCCAGAATTATCTACATTCCACCTTAATAGTCCTAGCTGAGTCAATCTAGGTTATGAGTTTATTATTTTATTTTTTATATATATTAAAAAAAAACATTAAAGCTACATGGTTTTTAACTTTTTCTTGTTAAAAAAACCAAGCTATATATCCAGAAGTTCTTTACGTCAGCATGCCACCAACTGACGAGTTATTTTCTAAAGGTAAACATGAATATCATTTTCCTTTTCCCCACCACCCCACCCCACCCGACACACACACACACACATGTGTGTGTGTAATAGAATCAAATCGTATCTTATACGGATCAATTTGAAGCTGTTTGTTGATGCAATCTTTGTAATCTCAGTTTGTTTATTTTATTTTATTTTTTTCAAATGAAATTGATGAATTTAGCTACGGTCAGGATCCTCACATATTTCAGAAAAAACATGACCATCTATTAGATTTAACTTTTATCATTCATTTTGAATTCAATAATCAGAGACTACTTGAACAAAAAACATAGCAAGCTTCTCTCTTTTTTTTTTTAGTTTGGACTAATTCATGAACATTTAATTTAAATTTGTTGCTTTAAATTCAATAAATATAAACAAAAACAAAAAGTAAAAAACAGAAAGTAAACATCTAGGTTTGTAGCCTAGCGGTTATAGCAGAGAATTTCTTACCTCTACACTTTAGACTTTAATTTTTATATGCATGTTTGTTATTCTTGTGATGACTTACTTGTCTAGTAGAGTATTTAGTGAATTCAAGAATTAGTTGTGATGCGCGTAAATTGATTTAGATATTTGAGTTATTAAAAAAATAAAAAAAGTAAGTAACATGAGAAAATTTCGGTTTGTTTAATACATAAATAACCCCTTTAACATGCACAGGATACCAAATTTATTAAAATTTCCATCATGCATGAAATCCTTTGATAACACCAAGATTTAAGAGAGCCGTGCTTAATTTTGTGCTGTAGTCACTGTTACATGGTAATCTCCAAATCAAAAGCCATGTATAATAAATTGTGATTTGGTCATTATCAAGGTAAAGCGCTTTAAGAAAAAGCACTTATCAGTGTAGGACGTATTGGACATTTTGAAGCAAAGAATGACCAAATTTGAACTAGAAGCTGGAAGCAGACATTATGAAAGCTAACCAAAGAACACAACTTTTTTCCTAGGAGCGCACTTTGGTCTTCCAAAGTTTTTAGGGACTCGTTTTTGGAACAAGCAACAACATCAGCAACGAAATGACATGTTCAGGAGAAACTCTTGTTAGCTTGTTCAACAATGTCTCAAGCTCCTCCTTCCTTCTCCTTCTCCTCCTCTACTTCTCTTCCAACTTGCTTCTTAAGCTCATCAACTTCATTGGCAGCTATCCTATAATCCAAAGGTATCATGGCGCCAGCCCCCCTCTCTCCCCCCCTCCCTCTTAACAACAAAATATGTTCAACTTTCTTTTTTCTTGTTTTGCAGAAACCGAAATGGATATGAATATAATTTCTCTGATGAAGATGAGGAAGAAGAAAATGAAACGTATAGTAGGTACTACGTTCAGTCCATGGAAAAAGAAAACCTTGCAGGCGGCATAGTTCATGGTGGTGAACGTGAATCAGCACTTCGGTTTATGCCGCCCAACAACAGCACCCGTACAAATGTTGAAGATTTCATAAGCTCGCCAGAGGAACCCTTACTTGAAGGCCAAGATGGTAGTTTTGCTAGTGAAGATATGCTTTCTGTTCTTGTCCCAGCAGGTTCAGAATCAGAACATGATGGTGCAGATATGGTCGAAGAAGAGATGCCGACAAGTGACACAGATTCGTTTCATGATTCTGTCCCGAATCTACACGGACCCACCACTCCGATCACCAAAGACTTGCACAAAGGTGGTTTCATGGACAGTGACGAAATCCGTGGCGGTATGTGGCTATTTGCATCGCATATTCTTCTCTAAGAAAAGTTTGTTACATTAGTTACATGTTATACTTGCAATACTTCCATTAGTCCTCATATTCTTGGGATGTTTTTCTTGCAGAAGACTGCATTAATCAAGAAATTGAAAATAAAAAGACAGATACAAATTTCTCCGTTGATGAAAAGTTTCTGGTTTTTGCGCCAACCCGGTTGGAATCAAGGAAACTTCAAGTTCAAGAAAAGGACGAGGAAGAAATATTTGGTGACTCGTGCACCGTGGGTTCAACTTCTAAGAGTTCCTCTGAATGGAGGAGCTCAATCAAGGATTCAGGAACTGAGGATCCATTCTCTTCTTCATCGCGAAGAAGTTGCCCCAGGTGGGAATCCTACACAGTATTCCAAAAATATGACGAAGAGATGACGTTCCTAGATAGAATTAGTGCTCAAAAGCTTCATGAAACAGGTAATTTTATTTTAGTACTTCGAAATGTCAATGTTCCTGCGTTACAGATTTTGTCATAATTCTTTCAGAAAACTCATTAATTTCAAATGAGATTCCTGCTTTCAGATTCTCTTAGGTCCATCCAAGTGAATCCAAGATCAATTTCAGATAGGATTGTTCACAAGTTTTCGACTATAAAAAAGAAGCCTTCAGACATCCGCCAAAACCCGTACCATGAATTGGAAGGTGCCTATGTAGCTCAAATTTGCTTGACATGGGAAGCACTTAATTGGAACTACAAGAACTTTGGACTAAAAAGAGCTTCGCAATGCGACTTTGATCCTGGTTGTCCAGCACATATTGCACAACAGTTTCAGCAATTCCAAGTCCTTTTGCAGAGATATGTCGAAAATGAGCCTTATGAGCAAGGCCGGAGACCTGAGGTTTATGCTAGAATGAGGCTTTTAGCACCAAAGTTGCTCCTGGTGCCAGAATATCGAGGTATGCATTAAACGAAAGCCTGATCCTCTGTATACATCTCATCATCTCAGGAAACAGAAGAAAAGAAGAATAAAGAATATTTGCCATTAGAATAGGTTAATTTCTTATATCCTTCAAAACGATTAGAATTTGGGTTTATATCTTTCCCAAAGCACATTGGAAGGCTTACTAGACCTTAGATTATACAGGAAGAATAACCTTCTTTCATCCCATGAAATTTCCACAACCTAAATTATAACGAGATCTGAATTCAAGATTCACAGTCAAAATTTACATGTTCAAGCCATTAACATGCAATTTTCACAGTCTTTTTAATTCCCTATCGCTTCTCTTTGTTAATCTGAAATTCTAGATGTAGGGTTTTTAGCATGGGTTCAGTCAGCTTACTTTTCCTTTCTGTATGCCTAGATTTCTTAATTTCTTTTATTTTTTTATTTCAAGATTCTGAAGATGATCAGAAGGATGATGTTAACTTTGGCTCAAGAATTTCATCAGCTGCATTTCTAATGATAATGGAAGATGGAATCCGAACATTCATGAATTTTCTCAAGGCTGATAAGGAGAAAACCTGCCAGATAATTATGGCATTCTTTAGGCGAAATAGAAGGGATTCAGTGGATCCGGTTCTTCTTCAATTAATGAAGAAAGTTAATAAAAAAGTAAGCTTATAAAACTCTGCTTCTCGCTCTCATGTCATGGTATACTATTAATTATGAGAGTTAATTATGAGATTATTATTCTGAAACTAATCCATGAATGCTTTGACATACTGTATCTGTGCAGAAAAGGATTAAGCTTAAAGATCTTCGCCGCGGTCGCACTTGCATAAGGAAAAGAAAATTAACAGTGGAGGAAGAGATGGAGATTTTGATGGGACTCATAGACTTAAAACTCGTCTCTAGAGTATTGAGAATGTCTGAAATGAGTGAAGAACAACTTCATTGGTGCGAAGAAAAAATGAGCAAAGTGAGAGTATTGGATGGGAAACTTCAAAGAGATTCCTCGCCACTTTTTTTCCCTGCGCATTGACCCACACCAGTGCTGCTTGATGACTAGATCATGAATGTGTCGTCACTGCAAAAAAAAAAAAACAAAAAAGATAAGAAAAATGATCATCGTAGGCACCCTTTTGTAAATACTGTAAAATAATGTATATGGAAGGGCCGCCTCCAAATCAAAGTGACTACATGTGAGTGACATGGATTTTGGAATCCAAGATAGAAAGTACAGAGACGTGTCTGCAGAATTTGTGAGCTTTAAAAGTGAAAGACCAGAGGCAAAGCAAGGAACACAAAGATAGAGACAAGTTTAGCTTTAGTCACTTTAGCTTTTTCATTAGGATTTATCTACAAGGGATTTGAGCTGATTCAAAAGAAGAGAAGAGAGGAGCTTTTACACATGCATGGAGTGAAGGAATAATAAAAAGCAGCACATGGCGCCCTCAAAGAATTGTCCACAGTTCTTGTTGCAGAATGAAAAATAAGCGTTGTAATTGGGCTGTATGTTATTAGATCAACTTGTGGGTGACTTCTAAGAGAGTATTGACTCGGAAGATATTATACAATAAATTATTATTCTGATATGTGATATGCATTTACAAGATCTGATTGGTCAGCTCAACACAATCTGCTTTGCCATTGGCAACTTTACCTCTTCCTTTGTATTAATTAGTCGTCCAAATTGCATATCTACAGAGTAATAACATCCTTTAACTACAGAGTTAGCTTAACTGTCAAGTTTTAGGTTTGATTTTAAATAATTATGAGTTTGGATTTTTTTAAAATTATTAAAAATTTATATAATTGTTATCTTTAAAATTTAAAATATATACAAATTAATTCATACAACCACGTTAATTTTTTTACAAATTAATTCATACAACCACGTTAATTTTTTTAAAAAAAACATAAATAAATAACATTTATATTCAAAAAATAATTACCTTGTACCGTCTAAGTCGACTAATTTAGGATTAGGTACAAATTGGTCCTCGACAATATCAGGCCATGCACGTTTCCTCTTGCTTGGGATACTTATGCTGGTTTCATACATGCTTGAGATACACAAGATGCCTGACTGACAAGTAAAAAAAAAATTATCACTATTTTTTTTTATTGTGAAATCCTCCTATTTATATTATAATAAAAGTTAAATAATATAAGAAAATCATTGTATTTCAAGAGACAAGATGCCTGACTGACAAGTAAAAAAAATATTATCACTATTTTTTTTTATGGTGAAGTTCTCCTATTTATATTATAATAAAATTTAAATAATATAGAAAAATAATTGTATTTCAAGAAATTTTTTAAATAATAATTTTACTTTTAATTTCTTATCTTTTCATGAGTGGATAAATGTTTCTTTGGTTTTCTTCTACAAGGGTATTTAAGTTTTTTTAATTTTCAAGTACAGTAAAATAACGAGTTAGCCTTAGAAAAGACCAAAAAAAACTTTGCCTTTGAGGTTATTTTGGTATTTTGTATGAGTATTTTGTGTAATTAAGAAGATCATGAGGAGTGTTTTAGTATTTTCTCTTTATATTTGTTATTTTTTAATAAAAAAGATGCGGATGTGTGTTCCTCACGTTCTAACAAATGGGCAGCGCCCGCGCTATTAAGAAGGCGGGTATAACACTTCCCAGTGGTCAAATATGGTTATTCGCTATTTAATTAGATGTGTAAATGTACCCCCTTCCATATAATATAACACATGTAGACATCTAATGGTTAGATTGCACTAGTGATTGTTTGTTTGTGTTTTTCCTTTCTTTTCTCTCTCCTTACAACTAAAGTGTACGCTTCTCCTCTTTATTTGTTATTTGTCAAATCAAGCATGACAATCAAACCCAAACATTTGAGTCAAAAAATTTAAAATTTTTTCAAAGCATGATTGGATTGTAAAAACAAACATTATCTTATTCAATCATGATTTTTTATTCATATGTAGTAAAACTTATTTGCAAACTCTTTTTTGTTTGTACAACATGTTTTATAAATTTGTTATATTTGAAGATGAAAGAATGAAAAACAATGTTGAGTTCTAAATGATTTATTTCAAGTCTTCAAAAACAAACTTTTTTTTTTACATGTATTGTGGATGAAAATATTAATTTTATATTTCCATCCAATTGCTGGATAGTTTTTTAAAGGATTCATGCTTTTTTTAAATTGAGATGTTATTGCATGATCTAATTATCAAAGTTTGTTACAAGTATAGTTTATTCTATGTTATAACAATTACTATATACGAAAATTTAAAATATATGATCATAATAGAAAACTTTTGAATTCATACAATATGTTGTAGGAAAAGAAAATATTGTATATGTAAAAGATTTATTGTCCTTTTAACTATTTTAATTTGTGCACTTTTATAGATGATTTTTTCACTAAAATTAGATATTAGTAAAAACAATTGAGTGAATTTTAGGGATACATGTGGTTGATATCCAAAATAGAAGGAAAAAACTATAGAAAAGATAAAAATATATTAGGTTAAAAAAACAAAGATAAAATACAAAATAAATATGTTTTTAGAACAACTATAAGTGAATTTTTATTTTTTGAAAACAAAAAACACATAGGTCTAGTGTAGTTGGTAGACGCAAAGCACTTGAGTCTAACAAAGAGTTGATTAGAGGTTTAAAAATTAATTCACTTGATTAAATTTAATAACACTATTAAAATATTTTACATACTCTTAATATTTTTTTTTTAAAAAATTCATATTAACTCACTACGAGGCGCAGGCCAATGAACTAGTGGTTATCTACTTCCAGTCAGTGTTCAGGATATTTGCTTGCTTAACTTTCAAGAATCTTCATGTTCTCTTTGTATTCTTTATCTTTGTTAGGATAAAGGAAGATAGTTTTGCTCTTTTATATATAAATATTATTGTTAATTGATTGTAAGGAAAATTAGAAAAATCACGTGATTTGATAAATATATAAATATGAGTAAAAAGACAAGAAGAAGAATTCAAAAACTAAGAAGAGATGAACCAAAAGACAAAGACAAAGAGAGAGAAAAGAAAAGGAAAAGAAATGAAATAGATGGATCATGGGTGATGGTGGAATTATGTTTTAAAGATAAAATCATATTTTGATATACATGATTGTTTTTGTTAATTATAATTTTTAAATGTTTATATTAATGAAGAGTTGAAGTTTATGTTTTTAAGTTTAAGTTTAATGAATTAATTGTTATGAGTAATAAATTGATTGACTAATTGATTTTGTATAGTTTTGTTAGGAATATTAATTTGAGATTCATTTGGTTTAATTGATGTATTAGGGATAAGAAATCTTAATAAAAAATAGTATTGAATTCTAGAAAATCTAATTTTTGACAATGATAAAAATTATACTCAAATCCTCGATTTGAAAAAATTACAGTTTAGTCTCTAAACCTTAGAAAATTTATAATTTTACCCTTGAAACATATTTTAGGATTCTAGAAAAAACTTATTATTGTGTTAAAGATGAAGAATTCCAATTCAGCCATTGATTTATGATATTTCTAATTTAGTCCCTAATTATTGTACAATTACAATTTGATCCCTATTTTTTAGGAAACAATATAATTTTTCCTTGATTGTAAAAACATGTTTCTATTGAATTTCATATTTATTGATGGTTGATTATCAATTTTACTTTTTTTTTTTTGAAATTCAAGTTAATTTGATATTTTGTTTAAATATATTAAGGTATTATGTGGGAACTATATACTACTTCTTTGGGATATGAAAGAAAACAAAATGCAAAATTAAGAGGTTCAATCAAATACATTCAATAATGAGTATCAATCCAATAAACATTGTTCAATCTCAAAATCTCATCACAAAACACATCAAACCAAAAATAAATAAGATAATTATTTAAAAGATATTCAATAATTCCAGCACTTGGTAATGAACATCAAAGCTATCAGAATTTTGGTGGTAAGCATGAAATTTAATTTAATAGCATATAGAGGCATTTTTTATAAGGAAGACAAATCTTAGATGTCTGAATACTTATTAAATGTCCAAAGACAAATCTTTTTATAGGTGTCCAAAACATTTTACTGGTTAAGAAAACCTAATTGGAGTCACTTTTGGGTCTAGTTCAAGCACTAAGAGATAAGAAGGTTTTGCCAAACTCCTAAGGCAAATCCTATCAATCAATTTTTTTTATGTATTTCTCTAACAAATATCTTTTCTAGGAATCAACCCCTAAATAAAAATCAAACCTAGATTCAAAAATAGACCTTCTATGGGTGGTTGAGGAGAATAAAAAAAGACTGAATAGTTGCAAAACAATGCTGGATCGAAAGAAACAGTGTTAGCATATGGCAGTCATGTGTTAATAGAGGTTGTCATGTTTGGTGTGTCATTCCATGCATCATCCATATTTGATTGGTGTGTGAAAGGGCTTGTAAGTCACTAATGACAAGTGAGGGAGACCTGACCTTTGAAGGTCAGATGGTTATAGTTATTTCACTGTTGTGTTTTTTTTTTTTTTTATCTTTCTAGTTACTCATACAAAGATCATTGGATTATAGGGCTTATATAGTTGTGTATTACTCATTAAGAGGAGAAAAATGGTAGTGATCTTTTCTTGTTTGGAGGTCTAATGAGAGAAATAAAATAAATAAGTTTTGGTGGTTATTTTCTTCATCTCCTCAATCTATGTCGATGTAGGGGTCATCAATTTCAATTGATTAAGGGGTTTTATAGAGGGTTTTGAGATCAAAATAATAATAATAATAGTTTTGTAATATATGAAGGTAAGATGTGAGAGAGATTAAGGAGGAAGTTTTGGTTTAGAAAAGAGAAAGATAGGCTATGTTTTTTTTTGTGGTAAAAAGATAGTTGAAGATGAATAGTATTTTTGTAGGGTTTATTTCTCCATCATTTAGCTGATATTCTCTCAAAAAAAAAAAATTATGGTGGCTCTCATCTTTGGTGGCTTAGGTTTTAGGGTTTTTTTGTTAAAGTTTTGATAAATTGTAAGGGGGAAGATGATGAATAGTCCCTTATTTTCTCTTTCTTTTTTTTTCCTCTTTTTTTTTAGTATATTCTCTCTCTATTTATGGTGGTGGTTAAAGTTTTAGTAGAAAATATGATGAATAGTTTTTTTTTTGTGTGATAGGCCTTTCTCTACTATTCACTTATGATTTATAGCCTATAAATTTTATCTTCTTTTTAGTTTCTTGGTTCCCAAGTAATT